TTGAATGAGAAAAGTAAAATTCCATTTTTGTAAAGCAGTAACGAAAAAACCTGTATATATATGTGCGTGTGTACATGTGGAGGGATACATACTAGGCTATTAATGTCAGCTGTTTTGTGGCCAGGTGTTGGGGGAAGGATGTTCCAGAACAGGAGAAAAGAGAGGATAGGCAAGACCCCTTCCAAAAAATAAACCATATTCTAACTGAGATGAGCAAAAGAAAAAAAAAATTTTAAGCAAAAAATAAAACATAAAAAATACACACATATACATATATAAAATATATAAATGTATAATTATTATTTATACACTTAGATAGAAAATTAAAGATAATTTTTTAAAATATTTACTGTCCAGAAAAATATGTAGTAAGTTACTTTTTAAAAAATTGATAATTATAGTTGATTTTATGAAACTTTGTGTTCTAATAATGTAAATGCTAGCACTAAGTTTTTTTCTAGGTCTGTGCTTTCTTCCCCAACCATCCTTTCCAGATTATGCTGTCATTCCAGTCTGCAGCTGACATTTCCATTCTAGAAATGTTTTTGAGGGATGTGGTAGATACTGATATGTTTATTTTTTCTTTTCTCTGGGAACTCTATTCTGACTGACATCCCGTACCTCCAGGCCACATGTTGTGGAATAATCAATGTTCTTACATGACCCTAAGAGTCTGGGCACTGTTGATTGGTTCAGGGCTGAGTGCTGTCTGAACCTGGCTGAACCAATGAGTAGTTACATTTTTTTTTTTTTTTGAGACAGAGTCTCGCTTTTGTTGCCTGGGCTAGAGTGAGTGCCGTGGCGTCACCCTGGCTCACAGCAACCTCAAACTCCTGGGCTCAAGCAATCCTTCTGCCTCAGCCTCCCGAGTAGGTGGGACTACAGGCACATGCCACCATGCCCGGCTAATTTTTTCTATATATTTTTAGTTGTCTGATTAATTTCTTCCTATTTTTAGTAGAGACGGGTCTTGCTCTTGCTCAGGCTGGTTTCAAACTCCTGAGCTCAAACAATCCGCCCGCCTTGGCCTCCCAGATTGCTAGGATTACAGGCGTGAGCCACCACGCCTGGCTGAGTAGTTACATTTTTGAAGGAAACTGATTTTCGATGCAATTTAAACCAATTGTCTCACAATCTAAACTCTACCTTATAGACTGTAATATATGGAAGGGCAGGGACTGAGTTTATACCCCCAGCACCTTGCAGAATGCGTGATATAAAGTGGGTGCTGAATAAATATTATTAAAATAATGAAAATCAAGTTTTATGAATTTTATGGGATCTAATCTTGTCTAACCCTATGTAAGGTTTTTATTAATTAATGACATTGAAAATTACTTCTCTAAAGTTAAAGAGGAATTTGTTATACGAATACACGGGTGTCTCAGAAACCAGGGACAGAGATACTGCCCATGAATGGTACCAGGCTCTAGTGCACTGTAGAGAACCCAAAGAGTTTTATATGTTCTCTTTCATTTTCAGTCTACTGAAAAGAAAAAGGGGAGGGGGAGGCAAAGGTTACATTTCCTTGGTTTGGGAGTAGTTGGTTCTAAATCAAAATCTCCTAACCTTGATTTTGAACTCCCAAGGAAAACCCCATATATTCTCACTAATAAGTGGGAGCTAATAGATGGGTACACATGGGCATAAAGTGATATAAGGGACTTGAGAAACCAAGAAGGGGGAAGGCCAGAAGGGTGGTTGTGGGATAAAAATTTACCTCTTGGGTACAATGAACACTATTCTGGTGATGGGCACACCAATAGCCCTGATTTAAGCATTATACAAGATATCCATGTAATGAAAAAATACTTGTACCCCCTTAATTAATATTTTGAAATTAAATCAATAAATAAACTCCCAGGGAAAGGATTCTGATTAGTTCAGCATGACTCAGGTCCCAAACTATGGGCCAATCAACTGTAGCCATAGGTTAAGGTCATATTTTATAAAGCCTCACTGTTAATCATGCGGATAGTGGAGTAAAAAAAGAGGAGCAGTTACTAGAAAAGGTGGAAATATTATGAATATATATATAATATAATTAGCTGTGAATTTTTCACGACATTAATGTAAAGATTCCAAGGGCTGGTGCAATTCACAGAAGGCTATTGAATCTAGACCTTCTGGAGTCACACACTGACTACAGTTCTATTTGTTTGTAACTGGAACTCAATATGGAGAGGAATATGAAAGGGAATAAGATACTTCTTGAAGTGAATCATTTACTTCAGGTTTTATGCAGGATGTTTCTCCTAGCCAGAATGCTCTACTCCTTTCGTGTGGCTGATTCCTAATTGACTGTCATGGTCATCTCTTTCAGGAAACCTCTGTTGGTTCCCCCAACGCTCGGTTAACTGTCCCTCTTATGCAGCATATAAAATGCTGCACTTATGTTGGAAGAGGCAATCTGCCACAGACCTTGAACTTCCCTGAACATTCTTACTGGGTATGCCAAGCATGTAAGTCCCCTAGAGCTCTTTACCCAGGCCGTCTCTTGGGGTAGTGTTTGCATAAAGTAACTTTGAGGGATGAGATAACATCTCCCCACCCACAAAGAGCAGGATTAATTCTGTTTACTCTAAAAGAGGTAAATTCCCTAAGTTCAGTGCTTCTCTCTTGTTATATAACCCACTTCAGGCATCTCTAACAGACTATTTGTATTGCCCCTACAGGACTTCGGAGGCATAGGGAACAAACACAAACCAACGTAAAGCTCTTGCTATTGTTCTTGCAGTGATAATAAAGTCCATTGTCTCTGACCCAGGGGTCTTGTGTCTTTTGACAGCATCCATGAAACAGTAACAGACTAACCTATTTGCTTGTTAAGTAGGATAAAATCCCAGACCATGCAGTTCTTGATGCCTATATTTGAACACCTATACACTATTTACATTGGTCTTTGTCTTTCTTCTCCACTAAACTACAGGCACTTTGAAGCCAAAGTACAATATGTAAAATACAGTAGGTATTGAACAAATGTTTGTTGAATGAATCATGTAAGGTTTTTGGATGGGCAGTGGCAGAGAAAGAAAGACGAGTAGAGTGAAAAGGGCAAGCAACGAGGCTTTATTGGGGGGGGGAGGAAAGAGTGCTCCCAGGCAAAGTTCACTGGTCCCGAGAGAGGGGGCCAGAGAAGTCGCGCCCCTTCGGAGGGGGCTAGGGCTTTTTATGCTGCCTGAAGCGGGTTTGGGGATTTTCCACCAAGGGTTTTGGCGGGGTCCAGAAACAGAGTCTGCTGCACAGTCCCGGGAACCAAAACTGCCTGCGTCTGGCTTATCCTTGCGTTTAGTTATTTTTGGTGGGCACAGGTCGGCTTCTTCTTCTTTTACAGCTTTAAGGAGGGGGAGGGGTGCCTGCCACCAGCCTTACAAATGAAATTTGATTAACAATAAAGAATCTAGTTAAGGCATTGGTTGATCTGAAAAGATATAGTCTTTAAAGTTGGATTAAGATGAGAAAGAAAACAGGTTGGTACAGACTTAGTGTTGCTAAACGAGAGCATGTTCAGATACAATTATATGGTTTCCTTGACACATTCTCAGAAAAAAAAACCTGGGTGTCATTCCAAGTGTTATGTAACTTACTAGGCCATATTTTACTATCATCCAGTACACGCTAACCCTCAGATTATTTCTCTGAACAATCTTTTAAGTCTGATTTTGAAAGAGTGTGAAAAAAATGTGTTCCATACAATTTTTTAAACCGATAGCTGGAACAGAGCAGAGCTTTCCAATTAAAGCCTGCAGACACCGCCATGAAATAAAATTTATCAATGAAAGTAATACCAAATAATACACTTTAGCCCTACAATTTACTAGTAGTTGACTACCTCTTTCCAAAGGACAAAGAAACTGTCTACAACCTCTGCTCAGCATTACTAAAATAGGTCAAGCGAACTGGGGAAAATGTGGGAAAGATTTTGCCCTGCTAAAACTTGGTCATAGCAAAAATGCTGAGTAGCACAGTTAAAGCCATGAGATGGGCAGAGGCTGCCCAGTACCTGGTTCTGACGTTTTTGGTTTGATATCTGCCAAGAGGGTACAGCACCCCGCGTTGATTCTGGGGTGTGAGTTCCCCCTGGCTCACGTGGCCTGAGGAGAATCTTTATTTCCTTTAAATAGATTCAAACCATTAAGTAGATAAAAAGGAGAAAAAATAATTAACAAATGTGGATACAATGGTCAGAAAACAGAGGCAGCCAGCGGCACTTAGGGTCCCTGCCAGCCTCTTCCTGGATCCAGTGCTCAGCTTCTCAGGACTGGTGGAAATGGCCAAGACCAGACATCCCCCCCATGGATGACAGGGGGACAGGAAGTTCCTGGCTTTGAGGTGAAGCTCCCCTGCGAGCTCAGGAAGACCCTGCCTTCTGCCACCCAGTGGCCGGCTGCTCCCAGCTTGGCCCAATCTCAGTGATGCTCAGGAAACTTTACTTGCTGAAAGAAGAGGCGTTTGGGGGTAAGAAGGAAAGAGAAGTGGAGAGAATCACAGTCGAGTGAGGGAGATTGCTGTGCAGAAAAGCAGCACACAGACGACAACAGAAGGCGGTCGGTGCTGGTGTGAACAGAACGGCTGTGAGAGACGTGGATAGCGGGGGAAACGTGACATTGGCTCCTGTAAACTCGGTGAAACTCCTTGGGGAAAGGTATTTCCCTAAACTAAGTCGAAGTTCTTCGCGGCGGGACCCTTTCTCTCGACCCACAGCAACCCCTGCTCGGTCTGCGTCCTTTAAAAACAACAGAGGTGGGGCCCGGGCGGGTCCGAGGCCTCGGCAATCAGGAGCGCTTGCACCCTCGGTCTTTGCGGGGGCCTCTAGACCCGGTTCCTCCGTGGGGTAACCCGGACCAGAGCGAGGGGGCGTGTCCACAGGCGCAAGCTCGCCCGGAGGGAGCCGGGGCGGGACGGCCGGCGGCGCACAAGCCCGCCCCGGGGTGGGCCCAGCCCCGGCCCGCGGCCCTCCCGGCCCCTCCCCGCTGCGGAGCCGGACCGCGGCGGCCTTGCCGACCATGCGCCGCCTCCCGCGGGCCCTGCTGCTGCAGCTGCAGCTCGCCCTGCTCGTGGCCGCGGGAGCCCCCGAGGCGCCGGTCAGCGCGCGGCGGAGCCTGGTGTGGGGGCCCGGGCTGCAGGCGGCCGTCGTTCTGCCGGTGCGCTATTTCTACCTGCAAGCGGTCAACTTAGAGGGCCACAACCTCACTCGCTCGCCCCCAGGTAGCGTCAAACCGCGGGGCCTTCCTCGCCCTGCTACCCGGTCCTCTCTCTTCCCCTCCCCGCCGCGCGTCCCCGCCGCGACTGCGCCGCCCCGAATCCGCCGCGCCCTGCGTGGCGTCTTTGCCCGGCGTGCGTCGCCCTTTATTGGGGCAGGTCTTCCCTCCTCCTTCCCGGACACAAAGGGCAGAGGAACCGCCACTAAAGTTTGTTGAATGTGTCAATGCATTCGAATGAATGAACGTATGAACTCCAAGAGCTCTTCCGTACTGGGTGTGCAGGGGCTGATGTTCTGGAAGGATGGCGCCCAGGGTGTTCTTGTGAAAGCGGTGTGAGTCACAGGTTGAGGATGGCCTTTGCATCTCTGACTTAGTTGTCTGAACTGTTAAAACATTCAGGGAGTGCCTGCAAGTGCTTAGTCATCAAGCCCATGAATCGCGTCGATTGCATTGCTTAGGCCTGCTGGGTCTGAAACTATGAACTCCTACGCAGAGGAAATGTCCGAGCGGAAAGGAGGAGGCAGTTTTGCACGCTACATTTTTGTTTTCTTTTTGGTTTTGAGTTATTGAAGACAGATTACAGAGATTAGTGAAACTCAGTCGAAATCATTCGGTTTTCTCTGGTGGATCCCGTCCTGAATCTCTTTCGGCCGGGTCCTCCTCCCACGTTCTCCTTCACATCTTACTTTTGCAACTTCTTTCAACTTGTCCTGCTGCTTTCAAGTTGTTGCCAGTCAGGATTTACTAATTTATGTTTAAGTTTAGGGCTTCAGCCAACTGGCACCTTGTTTTATCAACAAAGTGACAATTAGAATAACCCAGTGCCTCTTCCCCTGCCAGTGGGCTGGGAAAGTCACTAAGCTGCCAGAAGTAGGCGCCAAGTTTGGGGAGGCGGGGGCGAAGATTGGTCAAATCAGAGAATTTAGGAACCAAACATAATTGACTTTCAGATTTAATGTTTTTTTTTTAATTATTTCATTCATTCAACAAACATTTATTTGCTGTTTACCTCTATGTGTCTGGTAATGTAAGAATGAAAAAGTAGGCCAGGCGCGGTGGCTCAGGCCTGTAATCCTAGCACTCTGGGAGGCTGAGGCGGGTGGATTGTTTGAGGTCAGGAGTTTGAGACCAGCCTGAGCAAGAGCGAGACCCCGTCTCTACCAAAAATAGAAAGAAATTAATTGGACAACTAAAAATATATAGAGAAATTAGCCGGGCATGGTGGCGCATGCCTGTAGTCCCAGCTACTTGGGAGGCTGAGGCAGGAGGATTGCTTGAGCCCAGGAGTTTGAGGTTGCTGTGAGAGAGGCTGAGGCCACGGCACTCTAGCCAAGGCAACATAGTGAGACTCTGTCTCAAAAAAAAAAAAAAAAAAGAAAAGAAAAAGTGCCTGCCCATTAAGGATTTTACCGTCTGTTGGTAAAACAGATGTGCAAATAACAGATCACTGAACAGGGTAATTGGTATCATGAAAATATGTACAGAGTGCAATGGGAGCACTAAAGCACCGCCAGAGTCTGCCTGGGAGAGTCCGGGAAGATTTCAGGCGCAGAGATTTGAAGGATGAGAAGGTTTTGCTGGGCAGGTGGATGCTCTGGCATGTGCAGAAGCACAGAGGCATGAGCTCTTAAGAGGGCGGTGTTTGGGAAAATAAGTACTGTAATTTAATGATGCTGAGCAGAAAAGCCTAGTCAGATGGTAGCCAGATGTCTTCAAGGACCTTGGCCAAGCAAAGGACTGTAGAACTAGATGAAGGAGAGCCATTGGAGAATTTTGAGCTGAGTGACAGAATCTGATTTTGCCTTAACCACCTCAGTGGCTTCTGCTCTACATTTGACTCAGAACACCACTCCTAAAGTTGTCTTTGATCATCACTTTGATAACGTATCTATTCAATTAGACCCCAAATCCTTAGACAACTGGTTTTGTATGCCTTATATGCATCAGGATAAAATAATCTGACTCTATTGACAGGGACTTATGAGTGTTTATGAGGGTTCAACAAACTTTTTCTTTAAAGGGCCAGATAGTAAATAATTTAGGCTTTGTAGGTTGTATAATCTCTGTTACATTTACTCAGCTCTGCCTTTGTAACCATAGACAGTATGTGAACAAAGAGACCTGTCTGTGTTCATTAAAACTATTTATGGCCTGGGTGAGGTAGCTCATGCCTGTAATCCTAGCACTTTGGAAGGCCAAGGCTGGAGGATCACCTGAGGCCAGGAGTTTGAGACCAGCCTGAGCAAAATAGGGAGACTCTGTCTGTACACAAAATTTTAAAAATTAGCTAAGTGTGGTGGTGTGTACCTGTAGTCCTAGCTACTTGGGAGGCTGAGGCAGGAGGAGCACTTGAGCCCAGGAGTTTGAGGTTGTAGTGAGCTATGCACATCATACTCTAGCTTGGACAACAGATACCCTGTCTCAAAAATTAAAATAAGGCCGGTGCGGTGGCTCACGCCTATAATCCTAGCTCTCTGGGAGGCCAAGGCAGGCGGATTGTTTGAGCTCAGGAGTTCGAAACCAGCCTGAGCA